AGTGTTTGTCTTTCAAAGTGTTTTATGTATCTATGTTAAATTCATGGATAAAAAAATCTAAAAAAAAAAAGTCCTTATTCTTTAAACTATTTTTATGCATAAAAAAGTTTTAGATATCAATACTTCTAATTTATTTTTATTTTTATTTAGTAATTTTGGAATAATTTTTAGTGGTTTTGGCATCACTAATGTTGTGTAATGTGATTTTTAATTTGGAATTGCATTGGAAATCTAGCTATAGAAGTGTTTCTATTTATCTTAAAGTTGGATTTACAATCCAAAAAAACAATGCATGAGGTATTTAAAAACAACTTCTTGTAAATTTTAAAAAACTTGAGCAAGTTCCAAAATCTGCTTAATACATATTATTAATCCTAGAAAAATCCTAGATACATATTATTAAATTTTAATCCTTAAATTTTAATCTTCAAAAAAATCTTAAATAATCCTTATGAAATCTTAAAAAATAAACCTATAAATTCTAACAAAACTCTAATTAAAACTTAATTGAATCCTTAAAAATCTTAATCAAATCCTATGAGAACTTTGACTAAATTTTAAATAAAATCAAATTGAATCCTAAAGAATTATAATAAAATTTAAAATAAAATTAATTGAATCTTATAAAATCTTCATCAAATCTTATAAAAATCCTAATTAAATATTAATAAAATTTAATCAATCTTAAAAAAAATCCTAATGAAATCCATGTTAAATTCTAATCAAGCTTTGAAACAATTCTTATTAAATCCTAATCAATTCAAATTTCAATTTTATAATAGATTAAAATATTAATTATTTTTCAATTAACTATTAATTTTACTTCATAATTTATACATTCATCAATGTCTAATTTGATAAGAAGCTTAAGAATATTGAAAAGAATTAAACTTATAAATTAATAGAATAGACATACAATTTGTTCAAATATGAAGCAATCATTTTTTTCAACTATGATATTGAGATTTCAATGCCAATATCTCTTAATTGTATTCTTTACTTGCTTTCAAAAATTGTATAGATGTTGGAATTAAAATTAATTAGGAGTTCACCAAAATTTATCTCAATTGATTTTCAAATTGTTCCAAATTTTAGAAATTTATCTTAATCCTTAAACAACCACTTATAATACCCTAATCCACTTGAAATCTAATCACTTGAAATTTGACCAACCAATTATGCTCAAATTTATGAAATATTCTTAATACAAATATATACACAAATTTTCATAGATATATATACTTATTCTAGTAATTACCTATATGATTAGGTAGAAGTAAATAAAAGTAGATAAAAATAGATTATTTTCATAATAGCCTCTAGAAAAGCTTCTTGGAAGCTTTATAGACACAATTTTAACTTTATACGTGTTTATAATTGAATTTTAGTTAGAAACTTGATCAATAAGTTAACCATATGTTGTATATATAGTTAGCTTGTGGAACAAGCTAACTGTGTAGTATACACATAGAAAACTTGTCTTGAGCGATATTAGATATTTTCTCTTTTCTAAGTATTGTCATTGCAAAGCTTTTTGAAATAAAGAGTGCAATAGTACAAATGTAAGAATAATTGAGGGAGCTAATGTTTATGATGCATCAATTCAATTTACCACTACAAAGAACAATAAGAATAGCAAGAAGTGAAGATATAAAGATAATTGGAGCTTCTTCAACATTTGCACCAAATCATGTCTCTTTTTTTTAATATTCAAACATTCTTCTAGTATTAAAAAATCAAGGATTGTATTGCCTAAGTTTGATGGCACAAAATCGAAGTTTTGATGATTTATCAATCAAGTAAAACTTATAATTCAACTTCAATTCCAAAGTTATCCAACTTTAGGATTGTAAGTTAGATTCATTGATACACTTTTTTCAAGTTCAGCATTATCATGGTTTTTTTCTTTTTTTGAATGATGGGATCCAATATTAAATAATTTGGAGGTTTTCTTGGTGAAGTTTCATTACATGTATAAAAAACATGATATAATTCTTGTTACAATCAACAAGATCCGTATTTTATAATAAGACAATTGATTAATAATATTATATGTTTAATAATTTTGAGAACTTGCAACTGATATCAAGTAGGATGATGTTACACTTGTTAGCCAATTTCTCTATAGCTTATAATATGAGGTAAAAAAATTAATGTTCAACTTATCTAATCTTCAAATATTGAGTCAAATAATTATTTTTGTTGTGAAGTGTGACAATCAACTTTTTGAATTTCAATCAGAGAGTTGCACAAGTTTACATCAACATTATTATAATTCAATGGCAACACCAATGTCTCTTCAATACATACATTCAAAAGTAAAAGATATATAAATTAATGTGATATATTTTAAATTTCTTACTGAACAAAAAAAGATTCATTATTATCAAGGATGATTGTACTTGTATTGTGGAGAACCTAAGGACATAGCTCAACATTGTCCAAAGAAGCAATGCAACTACAAAATAAAAAGTACGGCTGTCAAAGAAGTTAGTATATCAAAAAACAAGTTTATTTAACTACAATAGAAATCATGCAATTGAAACATTGTACAATACTTAGTGAAGGTCTTATTCTCTTCTTAAAACCTTCTCCTTGTTTTACAATAAATATTATTTTAGGACCTAAACATGACAAAGTTTGTATCTTATTAGATTCAAGAGCCTCAGCATGTTTCTTAGATGAAGAATTTGCTAAAAGACATAGCATACTTTTAGTAAAGAAAACTAAACTAGTTCACAAAGAAGTCATAGGTGGTCATCTATTATCTTTAGAAGATGTTACTTATGAAACCTTTTCTATAGAAGTGAAAACTAATAGTCATAGTAGCTTTGTAATATTCAATATTTAATATCATTAGAGCTCTTTTTAATCTAGTCATTTTAGCTTTATCATGGCTAAAAATATATAATCATAATATAAATTGGGTTTCTTATAGTCTTAATTTTTTTCAAAATATAATCAAGAGTGTAGTTAATCAAATAGAAAGTCATAAGTCTAATATAACTAAACATATATTTGTAGATGCAAGAGCTTTCTTGCATGTTACAAAAGAAGGATTATCTTGTAACATTTATGTTGCACCTATTTTCTAATGGCGAAAAGACTTCAAATGGCATTTTAAGCCAATATCAATTTTTTCAAGATGTGTTTGAGAAGAAGAATTTTCTTCCGAAACATCATCCCTATCACTACTCAATTGACCTTGAAAAAAGAACTCAACTACCATTTGGACCAATCCATAGTTTATTAAAAAATAAGTTGGTTGAATTCAAGGAATATATTGAAGAAAATTTAGCCAAAAACTTCATACACCATTTCGAATCTCTAATAGAAGTTCCAATTTTATTTGTAAAGAAAAAAGATAGATCATTGCGGATATGTATTGATTATTGAAGATTCAACAAAATCACCATGAAGAAGAGGTACATGTTACCTTTAATATTTAAAATTCTTAATTAATTGAATCAAGCTAAGATCTATACAAAATAGATCTATGAAGAGTATACAATCTAGTATGCATCAAAGTAGGAGATGAATAGAGGATTGCATTTTCAATACATTGTTATGCCTTTTAGACTTACAAAAGCACCAACAACTTTCCAACATCTAATGAATTATGTCTTTTGAGAGTTTTTAGATGACTTTATTGTCTGTTACTTACATGACATCTTAATCTATTATAAAAATATAGAAAAACATGAACTTTATGTTTCTCATGTGTTACAAAAACTAAAAGATGTAGGACTCTATGCTAAGATAGCAAAGTGTATATTTCACACTATTTAAGTCAACTTTTTAGCATATATCATTTCAAATGATGGACTTGTCTAGATTCAATAAAATTAGATGTTTATTTAAATATTTAATATGCTAAATGTGCCATTTTTTCTTTTTTCTTTTTTATATTCAAAAGTCTTCATGTTTAATTTATATATGAACAATAAAATGTAAATTTAAAAAATTATTCTTTATTTTTGGATCAGTTAAAAGTTTTAGATTTAAAGGATATTTATCTTTTTTATTATAATTTTATAATGTGATTTATTTTCTTTTTTGTAAGCTATTCAATTTTTCTTTAAATACCTTTTGTTTACTTCCACAATGCTTTTTACAATAACTATATATCTTTTGATTATTTAATCTATAAAATTATGGTGATTAAAATTTGAAAATACAACTATAATTCATTGAATATTTATAAGCTTTCAAATAGATCGATATATATATTTTTGACAATTCACTATTTTGAGTTAACACCTATTATGAAATTAGTGTTTTAAGTTACTTCGTGGAAACTTTAAAATCAACTGTAGTTGTTACTCAAATTATTTGTAGAGTTAATAGTGATGCAATTTTTATTATTATGAACACAAATCCAAATTAAACATCCAGTTGCATCCAAAAATTTCTTAAACCAGAATATGAATTTCTCAATTTAAATAAATATCATCATCCTTAGATGTTTTCTAAATTCTACTTTTAAAATTCTACCTCAAAATATTTCAGTGGGATATTTTGAAATTCGTAGCATGAAATGTTGTTAATACTCTTCATCACTGATATAAAATTGACATGAGATATTTCCTTATTCTATTATCTAGTGTACCTACAACAAAATCCAAAAGCAAAATACTATACATTAAATACCACCTTTTCATTAAGTTCTAAACATTACAAAATCGTCAATTTTAAAAACCAATACACCAATCTATAAACTTACATTACCAACTAGTAAAATATTAACACACATACCATCTTCCATGTATTTTATTTTCTTTAGGGTTGTAGTTTAATAAAAAGGTACTTTTGAATGTAAATTTATATTTTATTGTAAATACCGTACATTTAAGACTCACAGTCCAAAGCGAGGGATGAACGGAAAATGGATGATAATCATCCAACGGTTTCGCATTTGTGACTGTTTTGGCGGGAATGGATGCTTGGATGAATGAACGATGTTGCATTTCGACGGAAGAGGTGTTAACGGGTCTCTCTGAAATTCAATTGCCTGCACTTGGACGACAGCGAGAGAGACTTGTCGATCGATTGAGGACGCAGTGGAGCAATTGTTGCTGAGAATTCGAAAGGGAGGCGCACACGCAGTGCTTGTTATTGTTGTTTTCGTTTTTGGTTTTATGGACAGAATCGAGTGGCAACGATGAGTGAAGGAGCCATCTGTGTTATCTGCTACGAGGATGCGCGCCCTCTTTGCGAGGATTTGCAGTCCATCTCCGCTTGCGGCCATGTCTTCCATGAGCTCTGGTGCGTATCTGCTCTGCTCTCGAGTGGAGGGGTTTGGTTTGAACGGTACTCAGGAGCGTTTGGAATTCCTTGCTCAGAAACCGTGGTCGTCCGCGTTTGTTGGTTTGACGGAAGGGTTACTTTTGTACTTGAACCCCTATTTTCTATCACGTCTTCAGTTAAACTTGCTACAGTCGGATGACAGTGACGCCTAATTGTGAAGAATTGTTGGATCTGTTGTCTGGAGGCAATGGAAACACTGAAATTGTTTTTGGTTTTAGTGTCGCTGCTGTAATTTACTTCTCATTTTAAAGTATTGTCTTTCCTTTCTTGCTGCACCTGGATTCATGTAATTCTTGATGCTGTCAGGTGCAGAATTGAGAATGTACTTATTTCTTTACTTGCTGCCGTATGATCTCTTCCTTTCAGACAGAATTGTGACAGTTAAAATTCAATCCTGCAATTCCCATTTCTTTTGCGTTTTGAGTTCCGAGGGCGCTGCTGTCTTTTCCTCCCTATTCCTTGCTGTGTCTGAGATGGTCACTCCCGTTACGTGCCTATTGTCACGATGAAATTGTGTTTCTCTTTTCACAGCTTGCAGCAATGGATTGAATACTGTCCAGCTGGACGAAAACCCACTTGTCCTCTGTGCAAAAAATCATGTACCTCCCGTGATGTTCACCGCCTTTACTTTCAGTCAGCAGTGAATGATTCCACTCAGCCACCGTCCGAGAATTTGCAGGCGCCTGTTGCCGATCCAAATCAGGTGATTTATACAATCGAATGATGTTAAGTATGAATGACCCGTCAGTGAAGGGGGGGATCTACTACGAAGTCAGAGCATGGCTTCCATACAATGTATAATGCATTTCTTGTACATATGGCTGTACAAATTCGACCTCTCAATTGTATTTATTTTTTGGTGTTTAGGTTGATAATGCTCCTGCATTGCGGAAATTGGAATGCCAGCTGGCTGCTGCCAAGACGACTCTACAGAACCGAAACGAGCAGCTGAAAGAGCTCGACTCTCAGGTTTTATTATCTACTCATTTACAATGAGAACCTGTTGAAATCTTGACATGTATGACGTTAACATATTTCGTGCGTCTATCTTGTTTGTGTATGTTGGGAGGAACGAACTATCTGGGAAAGATTTGAATCGTGTGTAGCCTCGTATAATCACGGCATATTTATTTTCTGTCACTACTACCACAACCTGATTTAAGTATTAACTCTGCAGGTTGTAGCGAACTTGCGAAGGGCAGAGTCAGCTGAGGCAGCAAACGTTGTGGTTAAAGAACTTTTAGTTCATTGCAAAAAAAGTCTCGCCAGGGCTCAGGAGGTAGTTTTCCTGCTCGTGTGGATGCATATTTTCTTAATTTTAATTTCCAAAGACTTGAATCAACTTGTGGTTTCCACGTAGCTGATCGGATTAAGCATTGGCACATATTTTATCGTTTGGTTATACTTAGCAAATTAATTATAGTCAAATTCATTTCAAGAATTTCGCACACTTATAATATTCCGTGATGAAGACTTTCTGTATGTTTGTTTTTAGGCTGTTGTGTAAGTGGCTACATTGTCAGTACATCCTAAATTCATTTGGGAGCTCCTGATGCAGCTGTGAGACGGTGCTATTTCTTTTGAACCTTTACTCTTGTCGTACTAAGAGAGTGAGCGATTAACTGTTGTGTATTATGTTCTATAGGAGTTAAAATGCTGCTTGAATGAGCGGGCAACGCTGCAAGAAAAGAATCAATCTATGGCAAAAGATTTGGCTGCCCACAAGCTGTGAGTTGTGTTGTATTTGCTCTTGATAATTCTCCTATCTGTTACTCTTTGGAGTTTTGACTAGCCTTGCGAAGGAAGCCGTTCTTACTTCTACAGATATTGAATGGTCATCTTTCGGGAGTAGATCGTGAAGTCATAATAGTTCTGCTTCTGTGTATAACTTACCTGCACGTGTTCATTACTTACGTTGTTTACGTTGCTTACATTGCTCACTAGGGTGGCAGACACAGATCTGGGCGAGGAAGAAATTCTCAGGCTCGGCAATTACAGACACGGAACTAATTCTGAAGCTTTCATTGAGACCTTGACTAAATCTCTCATACTTCGGAACAAGTAAACTTATGTTGCCAACCTGTCTACATCCATATTCTATTGACCTGCTCTGAGCTAGTCTTGTTATGACATTCACAGTCTAAATGTGAATTGGGCTGCGTGTACAGGTCATATAAAGAATTGATGACTCGATGTAATGAGCTTGGCATGGGTGAGAGTCGAGCGCTTCGAAAGTTTGAGAAAACAAGTGAGCAGTTGAAGAAGACGAAGGTATTATTTCCATCCAGTAGATTTGTGAAGTTCTTCTAAATACAAGTTCTATGAGCTTCAAGTAAAACTATCCGCTACATATAATATGGAGATTTTGGCCATGTCTGAAAGTTCTCACTGTTGAGCGACGCTTTGTGTGAACGCTATGGTTATTCAAATCTTTTATGCCTTCGGGAATAGGCTGCAGTTCTATGATATTTATGATATTGCAAGTATTCGTTATAGTTCACTAAGTTGCTCCTAGCTAGATTTAGTCGCCATGTAAAACGAGCACTTCAGAGTGGTTCTTTTGCGGTTTCTTACTATGATCAGTACACTTCCGACACAGAACTCTAGTTGACTAAAGATTTTCGATCCAGGCACGGGTGCAAGAACTTGAAAAAATCCTTGAGGAAAAGGACCATGCTTGTCTACGAGACTTGAGCAAAAGTTCTTTAAAAACACAAGGTGATGATCGCTCAGCTAATAGACCCTTGAACAACCAAACCGGGTCTAAACGTATCAACGCTCCAAGGATTTCCTTATCAGACCGACCTGCAAGTGACAGCGCCGTGTCACGTGTCCAGGATATCGATTTACAACAGGATATAGTACCAGATAATTTGTTCAAGGTATCTGGGTCCCGACAGGTCAGTTAATCCTCGGCTTAATGGGCAACATGACGCATACCTACATTTAAGTGACATATAAATGAAGCAAATAACACTTATCTCGCACTTCATAGTCATCAGTCTCAAGATTGTCATGCCGTGAAGATGCGGTTCTGAATCTATGTTATGTCCAGTATTTGAATGATGATGCAGAATAAAAGCCACGATATGAAAGTGATGATGTGATGTGATTACCTTTTCTGCAAACACCTTTCTGGAATGGCAGAGTCAGCTGTCTGAGCTTAGTGTGCGTCACCTATTAAGTTCGGTAAGGTAGTGGTAGTAGTTTTCTTGCAGCATGAAGTAGAGTTCGGTTCCTTTAATGCTGATACCTCTGCCTAAGAATTGCAGAACCTCGAAGTCGTGCCAAGAGCTGAGCTACCAGATGTGCAGCTTCCAATTATTGTGAGAGAGCGTGGGCTGATGGGGATTGAGCATGTACAGCCAACCTGTCCTCAGAACGGGAACACTTCTGGTGAGAACTTCAGCTCTAGGAAGAGAAGCCGTTCTGAAGAGAAAGCAGCTGGTCCTGACATCAGAAAGGATAACGAAGCAACAAGCACTGGTTTCTCATTCTGGGTAATCAAATCCAAGCGCCTACTTCAAGAAATTAAGATGCTGAACGAAAGTAAGTCGTTAACCGATTCAGGGATGGCTACCGGAGGGCAGCGTGCTTTGACACCAAGTAGTGTTGCTCAAAAGTCCTTTCCCCGACCTGGACTTTTAGCACTTTCAAGAGATGACGGCTCGGCTGCAGTATCATCATCCATCTGTATGTAGCTCCATCTTCTCCTCAATGTCCAAAAGAACCATTTTAGACACAGTTTACTACTCCAACGATTTTTTTTTCTACTTCTCGAGTTTGTTATTATTTCGTTCTCAATTTTGGAACTAACTGGTTTGCATCATGGTACGTACCGTCTATGCAGTATGTGATGAACCATTTTTATTCTGAATGGAATAATTTGTTTTGACTGCGTCTTCTGTCGTTGCCTTCTATGTATTAGGTATAAATCAGCCTAACTTAATTTCACCAAGAATTGAGCATAAGGCGGACACAGAGGTCTTCGTTACGGCACCAGAAAATATTAACCTTGTTAATAAAACAATCATGCCTACAGCAAATAATTATATTGGTTTTTCCAAGAGGGCATCCAGTGAGAGACCATCCACCTCGAGTAGCACCTTCATCGTATCTGGAGCTGATGGTCGGGGTGGAAGGGTTACAGTCTTCAAGCCTCCTTCCCTTTCCTCGGTCCGTATGCTGAACTTATACCTTCATAAATGAAACATCCGTTTCGTTTTTCCTTGCAGTTCGTGATTCACCCATGTTATTCAATTGAAATCAGATTTCCTAACTAAAAGATTTTCAGTATATTATGTAAACTGCTGTGACCAGTCTGTATGCGCCCTTGGGGTTCTAAGCATTCTTGTTTGTATCATGCAGAGAGGAGTGTCAACGATTGCCACACAGAAAATGAAAAAACCAAAGATTTCTGGAACCGGTTCCAAAGGCAGACAAGGATCACTTCAAATTGAGCATTTCTTTGGACGCACAAAATCGTAGTTCATGAGAGCTTAGCCTGATGCTACTTGAGATAATATCTTTTGAATTCTGCACCTCACGTTTCCCTGCTTCGCTGAATCAAGTGCACGAGGAGATATAGGGCTATTCATCTGATGTGCGGCATTTCCAGTTCTCCTCTGAGCTGACACTCAATACATGAGTGCCCGTAGTTTTTTGTTGATAAAATATTTCGGAAGCTGGAGCTACCAACCCTGATGCAAGGTGTAATCGAATTGCTCATCTAGAATTGTATTTTTGTGTGATCACATTAATTGCAGATTATGAAGTTAAGGGGCTCACCATATCTTAGTCGAAAAACCTCGCTTTTGACCGTTCCACTGCCTGAAGTAAATCATACGCAGCTACCCTTCTTGCATTAGCTGTTTCTTTCCAGAGTCTTGAATTGTGAAAGGAATCTTTTGATTCGCGAAAATGCTCACTGAATTCCATTCCGAGGCACCATGGTTTCAACACATTCAGCTATTGAAAACCTCGACTTTTGGGACCCACGGTGTCCATCGTAGGTTTGTTCTTTTAACGCTCGAAGAAACGGTCAGAAATGGAGCTGATTTACACTGACCCTCTAGGTTATCAGCGTTCTGCGATCTCTTGTACCTTCAGTTTCAGGGCCCTCTTCCTCAACAAGTCCAGGAATGTAAGGGAAAACCTGTACCCTGCATTGAGATTGTGAGCAACTCCTTTTGCTAGACACTAACCCTTTCAATCAGTATCGTGTAGAGCAGACTTCAACACGGTGGCTAGGCTGTGGAGCACCGACGTGACAAAGAAGGATGAAAAATGCGGACGCAATGAACTCGTATCCACGCAATAAGTAGCCAGAAGATGAGTGTTGATGATGCTGCGAAGGATACGATGCGCATAAACAACCTGCTGCCAATTTGGGTCACCTGTACCGTAGTCCTGTGAGAGATCTGGTCAATTAGCCGCCTTGATGGCCGGCCTTGTCACATGGAACACTCCATTCCATATTTGTCGACGAGAGTTTTCTACCTGGCGGATTGTGATAAGATGCGCCTCTGCTTCAACCAGAAAAGCTAACGGTGCGTACAGCCTATGTCCTTGACTTTTTATATTGGGTGGCATGTTCTTATCTGCAGCTCTCTGCGTTGCCCTGGTTGGTACAACTCTAGCTGTTGTTGGTGCTTTTACTGCAGTAGTCTTTCGCGACTTGCCACCAGCTCTGGAGTCTCCTGATGATACAGGGATAGTGCAAAGCAGTAATATGCACATCTACGGCATCTTGGTGGGCGTACCTCAGTGAGACATGGAACAGAAGAGTACTAAATGGCAAAAATGATTTTTGTGGTGTTTGTCATCTGCTCTGTTTGTTATTTACGCACCATGTGTCCTCACATGTACTCACAGCTCACCCTGGATGTCACTTCTTCCCCTCACAACAAAATTATTGAGCCCTGATTCTAACAAGTTTGTATAAAGGTACAGAGAGAGGCTTCTAAATAATCGTTGTGTAACAAAGTGACACCCAGTGATATTGAAAGTTGAAAGCTGTGTATTAGAGTGCCCAGCAGTGCAAACATTCTACTCGGCAAGTGTACGATGAACTTACGGAGATACTGAAGGGAAGCAAGGCCACGGTCCTCGGGTTGCTGAGTACCTTTTTCTCATCAGTGGCAAAGCCTTCAGTTGTTTTGTGTTAAATTCATATTAGTCTATCTGTGTTACTTTCAAAGGTAAACATGTTGCGTGTCAATGTGAAGGACTCTACTCCCATTCTTCGATGTACTAAATAATGCTGACACGATATGGTGAATATTTTAGATATGTTGGCATTAGCACCATGTCTATTGGGGATCGTATGAAATATTGTCAGACATGAAAGATTCTTACACACACACACACACACACACAAAATATCTTTTTAACTTAAAATAACTGCATTCAGATTTTTGTATTTGGTATACATGTATTTTGTAATATATATATATGTTCATAATTTAATGTTGTAAATATGACAGTTTAAATTTAAGTACAGAATATGATAAGAAACTATCATTTTTGTAAAAGCAAACTAGTTTTCGAAACTGTAGAATAGAAAATTAAAAAACTAGTACTTTAAGTATCTAAAAGTGACAAATATACATAAACATGTATGTATGTATGTATGTACTTACACATAATACCTATACAAAAGTTGATTTAGTTTGTAAACTAGTTTTTGTTACAATGAAATTGTAATGCACTAATATTTATAAACAAAGTTTACATATATATATATATATATATATATATATATATATATAGAGATTCATATTCATGCAACATATACAATTTTTTAAAAAAATATTCGTATTATTGAAAATTCCACACTAATTTCTGTGTTGAAAATTAGAAAAAAATTATTGTATGTTTATTACTTAAAATTGTTCTAGAATTGTTTTTAAATAGTGATGTAAAATATAGAACTGAAAAACATGTATATGATTGTATAGTAAATAATTAGATTTAAACTTTAAAATATCTAAAATGTAAAACATAATATTTTACTAGTAAAAAAAATGAAAAAAAAAAGTTAACCTATAATTATCCATGTGCATACAATGAATAATAATGAAATTTTTATAAATTCAAGTTATTAATTATTCATTTACAAAAATCTAGTGAATTTGTTGAATAAATTTTTGAATATACTATACAAATACTTACTATTATTTTTGGTGTTCTCATTTACACAAAGCTGACATGACAAACCTACCAATTTAAAAAATATTACAAAGTCTATTAAATCACAAAACAGATAAAAGTTAAATTAAATTGAAATTAAAAAATTAAAAAAATTAAAAATAAATCAATTCTATTAAAATAAGATATTTTTTAATAATATTTACAAAAAGCAATGTGCATCTTAAATATATATATATATATATATATATATATATATATCATAGATACATTTTATACAAAGATTATGAATATAGCTTCTTTACTATAGGTAATAAAAACAATCATTTGTTCTTTTTATAATATGTATCAAGATACAATGTGCTTTTTATTTTGTTATCATTCTTCTTCTTTTTTCAAATTTTTTTTATGCAATATTTTGTTTCAATTATACTTCTAATTTTTTAATTTTAAAAATTTTAAAAAATATATTTGTGTGAGATTATATATTTTAGTATTATAAAAAAAACACATGTTACAAATTAGAACATGTTATACATTTTAATAGTAAATATTATAAGAAATTTATAAGAAATATATTAAAATTATAAATAAAATATGTATTAAATAGTTGATTTTAAAAATAAAGCATTAGTTTTAGTACTTTTAAAAAATATTAATATTAGGTCTGTATTATTTATAGATACTCCTAATACTCACGTGCAACTATTAATATCATCCATTTTTTGTTGTGATACATTCATTTTAAATATTTTTATTCTATTGTATTACTTGAGAAATGAAATGATTATTATTATCATAATCATAATAATAATAATAATAATAATACACAAGATAGTTTTTTTTAAGGAAAAGACCACAATATCATATAGATAAAGAGAAACAATACCAAACAAAGAATCGTAACAAAATACAAACATAATTTTGTGGAAGATTTGGTAGAAAACTTAATAAAAGATATTAATAGTATTCTAAAGCCAGTTAAAATTACTAGAAAATAAACTTAAATTTTTATTAATGTAGTATGCAGATTTATGAGTTCTTTTAAACAAATATATTTAGTAGTGATAATAACCAAAAATTATTCTCATATCAATTTCAAATCTTTCTACTAAAATAGAATTTAAATATCTAATGTTTAAGATGTAATATTCTCTTAAAAAATCTAACATGATTTCATTCTATTTTACAATTAAGATTAATATGTCTATTGTAGATTTTGAACATAAAATGAATCATTGTAGGAAATTTTTATTTATATATTATTTTTAGGATAGTTGATTTGATGTAAAAAAATGTGTACATTAATTTAAGCACTAGTTAAATTCTTTTTGGTTGATCCATCACATATTTATGAAAGCAAATACTTGACTATAATATTTATTTTTTCAATAATATCTTGAAAATATTTATTTTACTTTTATTTCTTTTTACAGATTTGATATTTTAATTAAAACATCATTAAGATAAATAGAAACAACAATCAAAACTACAAGATATTTAATATTTATAAAGATCATGTTTTTTTAGCAAATCAAATATAAAATTATATGATTAATAAGAGATTTAGTAATTTAGAAAAAATATCTTAGTATCAAAATATTAGATGACTTTTTAAAGATTTATTTATAAATCATACACTTAAAAATCAAAAGTTTCCTATCTAAGATTTCAATATGATTTGGTTTAGTTTTTCTACCAAAGATATTTTATAATATTTAGAAATATTCTCGTCAAAATAATTAGACTATGGTTTTTGAATCTAATAAAACTAAAATAGAAATAATATTGTTTACAAACCTTATACAAGCTTTTATTTCAAATCAAAACAAAAATTGAGAAAATAAGATAAGAGGTTCACAACAACTTAATTCTTGTTGCAATGGAGAAAAAACTATTTTTTAATCATTTTTTCTTCTTATATATATATATATATATATATATATAAATTATTTTTTAATTTTTCAGGTATTATTAAGTTTTTAATAATACAATTATATATATATATATATATAATATTGCATTTTTTTACGTTTTTTTATTTTCAGTCGTGTGTTTCTAAGAATCATAGCTGCTGTCACTCTTTTCTAAAAAAAATATATATTATTATTCTAAAGTTATTTAAAATAAATTTTCTTATTTATGAAAAAAGTTAATTTCTTGGCTTAATGTTTAAAGATTAGAAACAATTCAGTAAATAATTTCTTTATACCAATTTGTATATATATATATATATATATATATATGTATATATATATATATATATGTATATATATATATGTATATATATATACACCAATATATATATATATATATATATATATTAGTAATCAAAAGCAACATTATTTTACTTAATATTAATTGCTAGCTATCAAATATGAGAATGACATACCAACTTAAAATAAGTTTTTATTATAAGATTCAAATCTCATCAATTTCAATAAAAAAAAATATTATATAATTTATATATGATATAGAATTTTATATAAATATGTATAAATTATACAATTTTAAATCCTCTTATTAATCAAAATAGCATTAGATAGTTATAAGGATCATGTGTGTTGTTCCAACTTTATTGAGTGAATTCAAGCAACAATAGAATCTATTTAAACTTAGCAAATAATATCTAAATAAATTAGATGTCAACCTTCATGTTGAATAATTAACAAAGATTTTAATATCTACGTTTTAGATTCAAGTATTAGAAACTTTAATGAATAATAATAAAATTTTATTTCTAAATAATTACAAATTTAGAATCAAAATTGAAGTATGAAAGTACTATAATGTGTTGTATTGGGATTTTTAGTTTCTTAAGGCATAGAGCCAAATGTACAAATAAAAATTCAAGTTTTAGAAAGAGCTATAGAATCAACATTTGTAGGCACTAATGGCAAAAATAAAATTTAAAAAATCCACTTGATTTATATATATATATATATATATATATATATATGCTTAAGTGAATAAAAATTATTATTGGAGTTATAATATACTATCTTATTAAAGATAAAAAAATAAATTAATATCAAATATTCTAAGTGATGATCTTTTTTAGTAAGATAAGAGATATTTTTATTTGATATTAATTTGATTTTATTTAAATTATGTTAATATACTAAAGATTTATATCTAAATAAATAAATAAAATAAAAACTAATGTAGAATCAACTTCTTCTAAAATGATTAATTGGCAACCATATTTTAATAGAATGTGTAATAATAATAATTTTTTTCATAGTATATAATTTTATTGGTACAAAAATATAAAATCAAATAATAAACCTAAATGTTATTTTAAAATAATAGGTATAATAATAAGAATAATAGAGATCTATATTTTTATATATATATATATATACATTTCATAGGAATAAAAGTAAATGAAAGTAGGTAGAAAAGATAACATAAATAATATATCTCTTAAGAAATAATAATAAAAATAAACTATTTACATGCAAATTTTATGTATAGGTGTACAATGTAATTTTATTAAATCCTCCAAAAGCATTCTTACTTTTCTTAGGTACTATAGAAGCAATTAACGATTTAGACACTTGAATCACAAGTCTAAAATTTATTAGGAAGCTTTTGAATAGCTGTTTTGCTATCTAATGTACACAAAGAGTAGACTAAAACTATATTTAATCTTTTCAATACTTTTCTTTTATCATATTCTTGATTTAAGACTATCTTTATTTTTTACTTAGTAAGAGTTATTTTAGTATTTTTTTGAATTATATATATATATATATATATATATATATATATATATGTATATATATATTTTTTCTTTTTCTTTTTCTTTTTCTTTTATTAATTTTTATATGAGTGCATTTTGTTTTCAAAAAATATGTGACTATAATTTTATAATTATTTTTAATTGGATGATTTACTTAAAACAATGATTTTTTTGATAATTTAAAGAGGATTAAAATAGATGTATTTGAATTATTTAGTATATACATAGCAACTTTATTTTGACAAGTATTTAGAATGTTAATCAAACTAAAATTGAAGATAATTTTATTAAATTGTATTAGAATTTGATAAAAATTAATATTATATAATTGTATGTGTGTATATATATATATATATATATATACACACACACACATACAATCTAATTGACTTAAAAAAAAAGATTTCAAAATATTTTATTTTAAATCTTAACAAGAATATGACATTTTACACCAAAAATCTTGTGGATATTAGCAACACACATTAGCTCGTCACCTTGTTCTACTTTGTAGCTCTTTACAATTCAAACAAAAAATATATAATAGAAACATATTAGAATGAAGTACAAGAGTGACATGCGGAAGTACAAGAGAATAAGAATTTATCTATACCTTGACTAAAAGAAATGTAGAACAATTATATTTTTGACAAATCCAATGACACTAAAAAGGCGTGACTTGGGTAGTCATCTCTTACCAAGTCTTCCAAAAAGCTCTTTGCATGCCTATTTGGTACATCATGAATGAAAAATTCTCCTTGTCTAGACTAATGATTGTGACTCTAGTTTTTATTTGTTGTGGTACAACTTTAAGGCACAACTCTATAGTTAAAATGTAAAATAAAATCAATGATTAAGATGAAGAGTTTGAGGAAGATAAGAACCAAAAATTTCTTGTTTTTATTATTATTACTATTATTATATCACTCACTTGATTTTCATTTGTACTATCCTTACTTTTTTGTAACAGTGCAAATAACTAACTCTCTTTGTTTTGAAGCCAATGGAAAATAATGGACAATGCAATACGGGGAACTTTTAGTACCTTTTCTTGGAACATGCAGTGTAGTATGCACCTTGCAGAGTACGAGTCTTAATGCCATTTAATTTGATTTTTTTAAGCACCAATAATGTTATTTTTCTTTGAAGAAAACTTTGGAGTTCCATTTTATACCCACCCATGTACCCATTTTATTCTAACCAAATTCCTTGTAGGACAAAATTCCCTCTTGTAACCTCTCAGGGCAGCAACTATAACTGTGGTAGACACACACACACAAACAAATACATACATACATACAAACACCTACCTGCACACAAAGAGAGATATATATGTATATATAATACTGATGAGTTTGAACGATGTGTTAAGGTTTACTTTTTTCCATGCAAAAAGCAGAGAGAGAGAGAGAGTAGGTCCACATACACACACACAGAGAATGGAAGGGGAAGGGGAAGGGGAGGGTATACATTGAGATTTGGGCTCCAGTCACAATTCCAACATTGGAAGACAACAAACAAACAATGCAGGCGAGTTCGAATGGGGAATCATAATAATAACAAATAATATATATGTATATATATATATATATATATATATATTCAGGGAGAAGGGGAAGCAGGGCTTTGATGGCGTTCATGGTGGAAAACGGGCGCCCCTCTTAATTGCGCGGCCACGGGGGATCTATTACTCATGTCCGAAGTGGAGGTCCCGCTTTGACCGTAGGGAGCGCGGGGTGAACTAGAGGAACATGATGGGAACAAAAGAGGAGAGCTGGAATGGAATTCGGGGGAACGTGAATAGAGCGAGAGAGGACTTCCATCTTCGTTCGTTCGTTCGTTCACTTTTTCGTTGTGAAAAAACCTCACGAGTTGTACCAGGACTAAACTCTCTCAGTGTCTTTCGATGAGGGAGGAGGGAGGGAGGCATGGCCATGAGAAACACACACACTTAGCTCCTGCAAATTGGTGAGAGAGAGCTACCCTGGTCTGGTCTCGTTGCTGACCCCCCGCCATGCGGGTGCACGGCGTCGCGACGCAGCTGTAGAACTCTTTCGTTGCTCATTTGGTGCCGTGTCGTTGCAGTTACGGCACTTCCAGGGTTTGTTTGTTTCGAAAGCTTGTACGTCGTCGTCGTCGTGTGGCTGTGGTGGTGTTGGTTGCTGCTATGCCCGAGGTTTAGTGAGTGAGTGTTGCCTGGTTCCGACAAGTGCGGTGTAAATGACGCCTGGTTTGGGGGGGGGGGGACTTCGAACATCTTAGTTGTAGTTAGGGAAGGACTGGAGCTGTGATTTTTGAGTGGAAGTCGTTTTGCTGGATCCCCCTTGGTTCTATTTTTTTTTTTGTTTTTTTTTTGTTTTCTTTTCTTTTGGTTATTCTGCCTTTTGGTTTCGTTGCGTGGTCGTGACGGGTTGTAGCTGGAGCTTCCAGGCCTAGGCTGGTAGAAGTCGAAGCGGAATTCTCCTGCTTGCCCATGCTCACAGACTCGCGCTTTTCTCGTGAAAAATGTGGCGAATGTGAGGGGTGTTTTTTTTGGCGAGGAAAGCCTCATGTTTGAATGATCCAGGGGAATGAGAAAGTACTGGATGTGCGCGGCGTTTTCCAATGCGCAACTGGAAGCAGAGTTTCAAACGCCTGGGGTCCATCTCCGTGAAGGGCCGGTTTGCTGTGTTTGGTTTTTTTGTGTTTTTGGAGCATTATTGAGGTGTGAGAAGCATGAGGAACTAGGTGGTGACAGGGGTTTGCTCTACTAAGAAAACTTTGTTTTTCCTGAAGAGTGACGCGTTGTTCTATGCTGAATTGGCATGTGGAAGTCAACGCTTTGTCTCCTGACGGCCTGGTCGTTTTAACTTATTTGGAATACCTTGGTCCAAAACCCGTACAGGTAGCGTTTCTTAAGAGCTGTTAGTAGCCGGTAAGCTGCCGTTTCGAAGCACCTAGAGAAGCATTCGGAGAGGTCTGCTGATGTTTTTTATGGACTTGCAATGCGGATATGACCCTCCTGCAGCTCCTGGCGCTCTTGCAAGTTGTATTATTCTTAGTGTCTTCTACACGAGGGTTTTGAAACTCGCCGCCAAGAATTGGTACGGTTACATTTTGACTGTCCTAAGTTGCTTCGCAAATACACTTTGCGGGCTCGTCTTGACTTTCACAGTTTCATACGAGGATCTCTAGGAAATATTTTGGTGCTAGCCGTCACGTGCTTGCGAAGCTGGACTTGTCGGCACCATCTCACTTGCGCCTTCAGATAATGAGAGGAGAGGAGATAACAGGGAAATTTCTAGTGAGGGTTGATTGAAGCCCTGTTGTAACTAAAACCCAGAAAAAGTTTCTTTTTTTCTTTCTTTTTTGCTTTACTGTGTTTTAAAAATTAATATTCTAGTAACAGTGTTGATAAAGTATAAATATCTAAATTTAAGTTGAAATACTGTAGTAAACTTTAGTTTTTATTTATTTATTTATTCATGTAGTTTTCCTTTCTTCTGCCATCGTATATTGTTTCAAAGGGTCCACAAATTGGAATTCAGAGGAGGATTGGTCTCGAGCTGTGATTGGTGCTGTGGCGATGCATACAGACTTCAAGATCAATACTTTTTATGATTGCAATGATGTCGTACTCGCACCAAGTAGCCAAGCTGTGAGAGCAGTACTAGTTCACGCCGCTGTTTCTTTTCCTACTTTAGAACTGAAGAATTAATTCTTCGATATCCGCTAGGATGTTAATCAAATCAGATAAATGTAGGTTGTGGCACGTAACTAATTTGGAGCACTTTCGGATCCTAGGTAGAGCCTAGGTTGGAGTTCCATACTTCTCGCTCTAGCAAGCAATGCCCGGTCCTGTCCGTTGCGCCGCATCCTGACAGAAAAGAGAGAGGGTGTAGCAATGTCTGCAATAGGGGCATTGAAGAGGGAAGAAGAAGCAGAAGAAGTGTATGAACTTAGTTCAAGCAGTACTGATAGCGACGGTCCAAGAGTTGGGGGAGAACTGGGCAAAAGAAGCAGTCCACAGGGAAGCCCTTGGGGCGAGAGCTCTTTGCAGAAAAAGCAGAAGCTTGAGCCTGCGGACGATCTCCGACTGAATGCATGGAGGTATGATGGTTTAAAGGATACGGCGCATATAGGTTTGAACATCGGTCATGAAATCAAGAGCGCCTCGTCTCCGGTTGCGCTACCTTTCTTCCCTCAACCCTCCCTCGACGAATCCGCGACCGCGCGAGCTAGCTGCAAGCAGTTTTGGAAAGCTGGGGATTATGAAGGGCAGCCTGCTATTGTAATGCAACAAGCAGGTAATAATTTTAACCACATCAGTTCAATGAAAAGAATCCTGCTGATGGTATACGAGTGACGTGATCATATGAGAGCCAATATGTGTGGAGATTATAGACGTTAAGCTGTCAGCAGTTTTTGGCTTCCATGCTTACATGGGATGCCTGTCCTCGGAGTTACTTCATGAAGAAATTTCCCTCAGGCTTTGGTTACTTTCATAACTTCGTATCTCTTTCGAGGTCTTCTGTGTTTTACTTCGCTTCTCTTCCTTCCGCATTATATTTGTAAGCTTACTGAAAAATCGCTACATTAGGCATTTGTGCGAGGCCAGTTATTAGTATCATGGGAGGAGAATTTTTTGGTAGACATTCAGGTTTGTAGCACTATCATTCAGGTTAACACGTAATGAGACGCTGCTTCGTCTGGAACAGTAGTGGCTCGAAGATGAAGCCTTTTCTGCGTGGTTCAATATAATAGCCCAAGCTTAGCGTGGTCTTTATATCTCGGATCATGCGCAATGCTAATGTATTGTTGAATATACAGATTGTAGTCACAGGCAGGCAATGATATTATCTGACCGATTTATGTCATATATTCAGGTGCAATTGACCACGTTAGGGTTCACCCGAAGTTTTTGCACTCAAATGCAACTAGTCACAGATGGGCTCTCGGAGGTACTTTTCCCTCATATCATTTACCTCATGCTTACAATTCGAAGTTGTGGTTGGGATTTTTGAAGTAGTCATTAGTTTTTGTGCCCCATTCGGGCAAGTTCTGACCGCCAGAGCCGATTTCTTACTGAGAAGTACCATCTTCAGCATGAGCATGATAACTGTAGAATATGATTAACTTCGAAGTCCCTACAAGCTAGGTTTTAACGATTCCTGTTCCTATGCAAGCTCACTCCTTAGTTCACGTGATAATTAAATTTTATTTTGTGTTGTTTCGTCAGACTAGGCTGCTTTGGGCACTATTGATCCTTTGGCAGATTTCAATTGAATGTTTATTGTTTTGCAGCTGTCGCCGAATTAGTGGACAATGCTGTGGACGAGGTATACTATGTCTTCCAGTAACAAATGCATGACTGTCAAAATTACTTTTCTTTACTGTTCGTTCCTACAATCCCTTCTTACACAACATCTACTATTTGACTCTATTTACACCAGGAACTCATTATTCATTGTGCTACTAATTGAAACGCTATATTTGAGCTTGAAGATAGAGTACTGTCAATCAGTTGTCCCGATGTCCACTTCTTTTGAATCCAACTTCTCAGAACGGATCATATTAAATATCTGTCATACTCATTTACAGTGGATAAATCGTTTTCGGAAACCTGCAGTTTGTAAATGGCGCAACATTTGTGAACGTAGATGTGTCCTTGCACCCCAGAAACCGCTCTCCGATGCTCGTCATTGAAGGTGGGAACTTCCGACTGGCATGCCATTTTTTGGGCAAAAGCGTTCTTTCTGTATACTTGATCATATTGGGGTCTTCCAAGCTATACCTAAGAAAACACAAACTTCGATTTTTGGTTTACCTCCTGTTTAATTTTTATCTATCTCAGTGAGCAAATTGTTTGGTTCATAGTATCTCCAGTTCGGGGTTCATTTTTCATGAAACGATGCTTGCTTAAACATACACTCGTATTTACGGCAGTCTTGGTGATGTTTTCGCTAAGTTTCATGTACGATTTTCAGATGATGGTGGTGGAATGACTCCCGACCGGATGCGTCAATGCATGTCCCTTGGATACTCCGCAAAGAGCAAAAGTGCCAACACCATCGGTCAATGTACTTGTAACTTCTTCAAAGCTTATTGTTTTGTGAGACGATTATCTTTTCCATCCATTTAGAAACCTCTGGCAATTTTTTGCATTCTTTATTGTAAATTTTCAACATGTCATTTGCTGACATGTGTAGGTGTACTTGTGGCTTTATTCTAATATTCCCTTCAATTCAGTTTGATCCAGTTTCTTTATTTAAATGACTCATTTCGATTTGACAATGCCTTGCCTGCTCACATCTGCAGATGGAAATGGTTTCAAGACGAGTACCATGCGCCTTGGTGCCGATGTGATTGTGTTTTCCCGATCTCGTGCTTCAAACGGGCACAGGTTGTTCACTACCTTGGACGATGGATCAGACATGAGACTACGTTCTTGAATTTCGCCTGACGATAACTGTTTCCATTAGCCTATCATTCTTTTCATGCACTCTGTCAATTACTTTATCACGTTAGAGGTTTTTGTGTTGTTAAAGCACACTATGACTCAGTTTGATTCTTGTCTATCAAGTGAGGATGAAAAGTTGCTGTAGTTTGGTGGTTGGAGGGTCGTCATTTATTTATTTACAAGGTCTTTCTTGACCTAGTTGGTGGACAGAGCTACTCAAAGTATCGGTATGCTGTCTTTTACCTTCTTACGACAAACTGGACATGATGACATTGTCGTTCCAATGGTGAGTTGTTGACTTTTATTTGATGCATCATACATTGAAACAGTATTAGACTGGAATACTCGGGAGAATTTTGTATCCATGATAAAGGCTTTTCAAGAATAGAGTTATGGATTCTTTCAATTGCCTGTGTAGGGATTATGACCAACTTTCTTAGAACGTTTTTGGTGCTGAGTCGTGAAAGTTTCGATGGATTGTGACGTATATTACGATTTGGATGAATTTTTAATTTGAGGAATAAAGTCTGAAGAGGTTATTCACATGTGCAGATTGATTATGAGATTGGAGATGGAGAGGTGTGGAAGATGATGAGGTCAAATTTGAATGACTGGGTTCATAACCTAGAATTGATACAGTCTTGGTCTCCTTACGGCAGTGAGGAAGAACTGTTTGACCAGGTTTGTGTTCTTTCAAGCTTTGAATCGAATGTTTTCACGTTAGTCCATCTATCGATGGAAAATATCGCCTTTTGAACAATAAGATCTTTATGCTGGTTTGATCGTCTCTTAAAATTTCTGCAGAATTCCATCTGCAAGGAGTCATACACAGGAACAACGTAATTGTGATGTCTTTTGGGCATGAGCAATTAGTGCTCCTAAACCAACTGTAACGATCACATAAGTATCTAAATGTTCGTTCGGAAATCTCCCACTTGCTATTAACTAAGATTCATGAGGTAGCTTAATGTTTGAAAAGAAGTCATGTTTGAATTTTTTTTATGAAGGGCCGTTGCCTTCGCAGTTTACAGGTATGAAGGACCATGGAACAAAGATTGTTCTGTACAATCTATGGGAGGACGATCAGGGCCAACTCGAGCTGGATTTCGATACAGATCCCTGTGTGAGTAGCCCAACTTTCTATTTCTGAACTAGGATATCTTATTTTACTAATACGTAATGAAGGATTCTTAGAACTCTAAAAGATTATCCGATACAGAGAGGGTATGATTGTACAATCATGGTGTGTTGATTTGCTGCTTTCCCAGAACTAGTGGAACAGGGCATAACTATTTTTTTCCGGAGGTGTAGGATATTCAAATAAGAGGAGCTAATCGCGACGAGAAAAAAATAAAAATGGCTCAACGATTTCCTAACTCTAGCCATTATCTCACCTACCGTCACTCATTGCGTGTACGTCATATCTCCTCTCCATCTCACATCAACTTCTCTGTGTACTTTACCTCACTGTTTTTAATGTATGATCATCAATTTTACTGAGTACAATTTCACATAATGTTTATGAGTTACGTGTTTATCTTTGTTCAAAATGGCAGCTCAGTTCTCAGATGTACACGATTGCTTGTTGGTGTGACAGAGTTATGTTTCCATTCTGTACTTGAGGATGCCACCTGGCTTCAAGATCATTCTCCGAGGACAAGAAGTTCAACACCACAACCTTGTAGACGACTTGATGTTTACACAAGAACTCACCTACAGACCACAGAGTGGGGCTGATCATGTAGCTAAAGAAACTGATGTAATAACCTACCTGATTCCATATTCTTTTTGCATAGCTTTTCACATGTATAACTCGTTTGTCTTGCCCATTTTAGTCTTCAAAATGTGGATGTGTAGGTACCGAACTTTAATTACGAAGAGTGACACTTGGCATAGCGTTTGTAAATTGTGATTCACAGATGCTGGCAGTGGTGACCATCGGGTTTGTGAAGGATGCTAAGGACCATGTAAACATTCAAGGCTTCAACGTTTACCACAAGAATCGCCTAATCAAGGTCATTAATTTTCTGCAATCTACTGTTATCTGTGCAACTGCATTTTTCAACTTGGAGCATACAAAATCGCTTTATTTTTTATTTTTTTTACATCATTATAGATCCTGTTTGATTTCAAGCAGTCGTTTAAGCGAAAATTTTAAAGCGTAGCTTGAGTCATTTCAGAGTGTATTCCTCACCTGAATGCATTTAATCGTATGATCTGTTGTAGGATGGATGGTAATGAAATTATCTTCTTTCTTTTTCTCTTCTTTTGTAGCCATTTTGGAAAATTTGGAACTGTACTGGCAGCGATGGGCGGGGTATTATAGGTAAGTAATGTCTCGCTTGGAACTGAGAATGTGAATTGAGTCCCTTTCCCAAGACTAACTGTACCGATGTTGATGGTTTCCAAATGCTGTTTTGTCTAGTTAACTTGGACAATCAGGTGTCACTGAAAATGCCTCCTGCGAGCTAGGGTAGTCTTCCTCATGTGACCTTTGTCGCTTTGCAGGAGTTCTAGAGGCTAATTTTGTAGAACCTGCTCATGACAAGCAAGGATTTGAGCGCACTACCGTGCTTTCACGATTAGAATCTCGCTTGTTGCAGATGCAGAAGAATTACTGGTGCTTTGCTTTACTCTTCAGCTCATCACAAGTGATCCTCTAATTAAAAAATCTTTTCTTGCAAATGATTGCCGCCTGTCTCGGTTCTAATACTTCATGATCACTTCTACAGGGCAAACAACTGCCATAAAGTAGGCTATGTGAACAAAAAGAGTAAGAGAAAGAGTATTCCACCTGCCCCTGTGCCTGGAGGTACGTTTGATGATGTCAGTCTTGAGAGCTAATCTTTGTCTTCTCGTTGTCTCTCTGAAGATGCATGGATTCCTTATAACGCGGATTGTATTTTGCATCTAATTTCCTCATGTACATGTACATACAACATGTTCTATATACAAGAAAGCAGAATCTGATGTGAATGTTTTTAAGTTTCTGGTTCGGGTAACATTTCTGAGGATGTTGGTTTGCAGAGACCGCGACGATTAGGGGTCAAGGTTCTACCATGTCGTCTCCAATTTCGGACCCTCATGCAGAGCTGCGCCTCTCTTTGCCTTCCAACTCAATGAGTGAAGGTCGGAAGATTGGAGGGGTATTGCGAACTTATGGAGATGGTACATCAATAAGGCTACGTCCTGAATACGAACCTGCTCCTGCAATATCTAGAAGTGGTTCTCTTACCAATGGCACCTGTGTGGTTAAGGTACTCCTCAGAACTTATGTCCTACCTTTTTTCTGCCAAGTGTGATTTTGAATCGGTAGAACTTGCTTGTTAACTTGAAGTTTGCAACACCTGCCATGTTCTTTTGTATGCCTAGTGATGCTGACATGTAATCCTTGTGATGCTGCAGAATAATGAGCCTGGTCCTAAGGAGGGTGTTCCTAGCCGGAAGTCGTTAGAAGATCTTGGAAGAATGGTACTTTCGTTCTACATGTTGACCTTTTGCTGCATCAATGTTTACTTTTCAATTAAACTATGACTTCTTGTATTTAGAAGTCAAGACTTTGTTTACCGGAATTGACCGGTCGTATGGAAATCTGAAGTTTCTTTTTATAATTTAGTGCAGGATAATAGAGTGCACATCCAAATCTACCACTATTTTCTAAATATGTAATCTTGCTCGTGATCGGTGGTTCAGTTTGTAAGGAGGGCTGCTGCTGCAGATGTTGCTTCTCCTGCTCCACAGGTGCAGCAGCACCCAGCAACCTCCAATGGCCATAAGCCATTAGTAGAACTTGAGATATTGAAACAACTGAAAAATGAAAACGAGCAAATCCGAGAAAGGTTCGAATTCTTCAACATTCTACAAACATGTTTTGCTGCTGCTGCGGAGAACGTATCTACTCACATGTAGAAATACAAGTTGGTTTTCATGATATGCACCTTATCATGGATCTTTTTATGGAGCTTACATGTCGGTAAGTCTTGATTTCGAATTTTTCTTTGGGTGTATTCAGGTGCCGGAGGTTAGAGGAGGCAAGTGAACAGAGTCTGATGTTTGAAATTGAACGTAATCGCAAATTAGAGGCTCAGGTAAATTGGCTTGTATTCCACATTGTCCTCTTTGTATGGAGTTCAGATGATGTGCTTCGGATTTTTAGTTTTTCAACCTATTATTGATACTAGTACAATTCCCTTTTCTAATGGGGCGTGTCAATTCCATAGTTAATGTTATTCTTGTGGCTAGAGCAGCTTCTAGATTTGGAGCAACAACAGGCGGTTTACAGGCGCAATCTAGAGAAAATCATTCGAGAACGGGATAGTTTGCACATTGCGTTGGAAGAGGAACGGCAGCTTCGAGAAAGTGACGATGAAGAGATGAGAAGGAAACTGAAGGTTAGTCATGTTATGTCTCTTAAAATTCAATTTTTGAAAAGTCGGTTTTACAACTTTTCTCGCCTATTTTATTGTTTTTCGTTTTAATGTACCTTCGGCAGCGAACATTGTCTCTTAGAGTCGTCATAAAAACTTCAGCATGATGACAAGAAGATTGTTTCTGTAACAGGTGGCACTGCTCCATGTCCGAGAGCTAGAATCCGAGAACCACCGCTTGCGTTTCTCAAGGTGTTGAGCCTAGTATCTGCGGAGGCTGGAGGTTGTTTCCCAAATATGAGCGTTTGTGCATTCCGACACGTTTGTGTGCACTGCCCATTGTATAGTATATCATGATCTAGTGCCTCGTATCTGCTGCTGGGCAGGGCCGTATGCACAACTCTTACCTCTCGTCTAGACACCCTTGCAGATACAGGTGTCTGGTACAGGTTGGAGCAGGAATTTTGTTGTGTTCAAACCCAGTTTGAACATTCTTACGTGAGGTTGCAGCGCTGACGCAAGACACACTTAAATAGAAAAATCGGTTACTGATTTGTCCCATATCATAGAGTAGTTATGATGGCATTTCCTCTTTGGAAAGAGTTAATACATTGTACAATGTAAGAATGTATTGTTTTTTACATTTTCAAAGAACGAATGTTGTTTTTCTTCGATTGCGGTAACTGATGATTGATGGTCTAAGGTAAATGTGGAGGTGGACGAAGCATGTTGAATGTGCGCTGCAAGGATTAACTGTGCTATAAGTTATCTCACAGTGTAATCGCTTACTACTTCCAAGCTGAAATTCAAAAATTGGAAATAGTATAATGCAGTACTACTGCACCTTTAGCACCCTTCATAGACAAGGTGTTTGACAAGGAGCATGCAAACGACATCGTCGCCGCACTAGAAATGACAACGCTCATTGTCACAATGACATTGACGATGATTGGCTGCAATTTTTAAACTACTACCTGGTCTACACCGATCTTCCATGCAGTTGGAAGCTGTGACGTTGCAATAGCACATGTAATTCCAAGTTGTATTTCAAATACGCAGACATTTGTATAGCGTTGTGACGAACGGTGGAGAGCTGAACCGTTTCAGAGATATACGGTATACCAATACGTTATATATTATCGACAGTATTGAAAAAGTACCGTCGCTAGACGAACTCATATACCTACAAACTGACAAATATGTGAAGGAAAGAACATTCAGTGTTTTGAAAAGGAGGCCAGACTGAACTTTCTTAAGAAAATACGAACCAGGTATACGCTTTACTAGCCAAGTTCCGTAATTAATAAATGCGTACGGGGGCACCCATGGTGGTTTTCAAGTACAACACCCTCACGTTCTGCCAGTTCTTCTTGAGCAAAGACACAAGGAAGTTAACACCCATCTGGGTGTTCTGGAAGATCTGCTTCTCCTCCATTCCGCAGTTACCAATAGCAACTCCCATGCACAGCACCTTTTTCAACTGGAATTTGACCATAGCCTTGGACTCTAGCACCTTGGACTCAAGCGATTCTTGGTGAGATACAAGCGCAGGGAATTTTCCGGCCTTGTTCAAACCAGGTCCCAACAAACGAGGGATCTGCTTAATGACCGACTCGGAAGCCAAGAAAGCGTGGTACTTCTTAGCCAGCTTCTTCACAAGTTTCTTGTTCTTGTTCATCTTCTTCAAGCTCTCGACATCCATGCACTCGATACCATTCTTGGTCGCCTGTGACGAGTTACGACCAAAAGAAACTCACGACATCAGCAATTATCCATTATCAAGTAAAGGGTGATAATTTCTAGTTTTAATATACAAAGGCCAGTGAGATGAGACCCAGAGCAGAAAATTCTACAATGTTTTATTCAATTTCTGGCACCATCAACAAATAGAAAGAATCAAAATTTGAGAATAAGCATACCTCTTCAATATGTTGGGCATCTCCAAGCATACAAATCCTCATCTTAGGACGAGGAATGTGGGGAAGCTTCACGGAGCCACTGAAACGCTTGTCTTTCTGGGGGTCATAGTTCTTGAGGCCGATCTGAAGTTCAACAGTCTCTGTGAACTTCCTATTCTTCTCCTTGGCTGCAGCCACGATCTGAGTGATCGCCTCCCTCAGAACATCACTCTGAAGCTTACTGTTGAGAATACATTAAACTCTATTTCAGTTCCATATCATCAAAACAGTACCAGAGTCGTAAACCTAATTTCCAAGATTTCATATTCGTGTTACCTGACTGTCACGACCTGAATGACAGGTATGCATGAGAGCACCAGCCAGGCAATCACATAGTATTAAAATTAGGTTCACATTTTATGTAAAGACCAAACATTATCGACTTAGAAATCAACGAGGAAAAGAAAAACAGAAATCTCCACGTTGGAAGTTAGTAACAAAGGCAACTCCTATGCAGCCATAGCTAGAAATCGTCCCACACATCTACCCGAAGCTCTGATGAACGCAAAACACAAACCGGATAAACCACCAACAACCCTAGAAGGTTACATTTCACTGAAATCGTGCAAATCATACACCTGACCAAAATCACACAATAAAATCCACTCTACCAATAACTGAGCTGATATTTGTCACAATGCAATCTAGTTTATGAAAACAATCGTGAAGAAACAGCAACCCCACCTCATGATTGATAACTACCGGTGACGGCCCAAGCCCACACGGAGGAAGAACAAAGCTGGAGAAGACAAACCGAGAGAAGAATGACAAATTCCTCACACTCCGATTTACAAACCCTATCACAGGTTCCGATAAAGGTTCGGTTTCCATACCAGAGAAGCTACGCTCGGCATCGAGCGCCGTGCGGGGTTCGGTTCCGAACCTCCGCTGCTCAGTTCCATTGTTAGGGTTCGGCGGTCTGCTCTTAGTGCGCAATTTGCGTTCATGATTTGTTCAAAGGGTTTTGATGAAATCAAAGTTACAGCCGGTTCTCAGCCTGGAACAAATCTATTTTTTTTTCACATCCATTTCGTCAATACTCACCTTCTACTTTTTTCTATTTTAAAATTCTTTTTAACAAAATTATTCAGTGGTTTCAAATTCCAATCAATGCTTGTATATATACATATTTATCAAAATTTTCTTCAACCTCTTAACATAAAATGTACAGTAAGTAACTCACAAGAAATTTGATTAGTTGTTATATATAACAACTAATCAAATTATAGATTGATAAAATTGATAGACCAAACTATAAAATTAATATAAATTGTTGTCAATCTAATATTTTTCTACTTTATAAATACATATATTTGTAGATCAAAAGTGGTGTCTATGTCAAGGTTTGTAAGCACATATAAAGAAAAACTTATTTAAATATGAAATTACAAAAAAAATCTTATTATATAACATTGCAAAGTAATAAAAATGTACTAGAACATAGCCAATCTTAATATTCAAGTGCTTTCTTCCAACAAGAAAACCATTGATGAATAAATAGATTCTATTTTTTTATTAAACTTTTAATATTATATCTCATTTGTAATTTAGATAAATAAAAGATATATACAAAACAAAAAGAAAATAGAATGTCTACTATTAATTATAAAGAACTTACAAAAACTTGAAATAAGATTAAAATACAAAAAAGACATTCATAAGATTAAAAATGACATCACTCTTCCTTCCATATATATTAGCTATTAAGAAGGTCTTATAGAAGGTTCTTAATAACTACTAGACTTGTAGTCTAAAGATCAAGTTATAGATTGTTATCCAAGCAATATTTTAAAATTAGAAAACTTCTAAAATAAATTTTAATAGTCATGTGGCAAATCTATAAGTATTAAGGATATTAATTATAAAAAATAAAAACCTCAATATATTCTTGTATCACCAAAAAAGAATAGATATTCACTCAAAGATAATATAATATTAAAACTATAATGGCTATTGCCTGAGACAAAAAGATTAGAGATTCTTGAAACAAGATTAAGAATAAGAAAGGCATTGGCGAGAATGCAGAAGGCTTCATTCTTGCCTCTATATATACTATCCAACTAAGCAATTATATATCTTGAGTACCAAAAATAAATAAAAACTACAAACAATCACAATAGATAAAATGTAATCTCCATTAAATCTTGTTTCTTTTATAGCAAGGAATTTCTTGACTCTTCATTTTGGTTTTAATGGATGTAGTTGATAAAAAGGATCAACATTCTTTATTATATTTGCAAGATTATTAGTTGACTTTCATATACATTTACTAATATCATATCCATGCTAATGTATAAGATATTCTAACCTATTTTGGCACGACATTGAATTTAGAACTTCTTCTACTTTGAATTTTTAATTATTTTTTATTTCTATAGAAAGATGCAATATTTGTCTTATTTTTTATGTATCCACTATCTTATATAATTCAAAAAGAGAAACATGGAATATGTGATGGATCTTTATAGATTTTGATAAGTATAATCGATATATAATTATCTAAATATGAAGAGTTAGATAGAAGACAAAAATACATAGATTTGATAATATCTTATAGAGAAGCTTCTTAAAAGCTTTATAAACATGAATTTGACTTTATATGTCTTTGTAGGTTGAAAACTTAGCCAACAAGTTGGCTATATATCACACATATTCGAAATTAGTAGTAAAAATTGACCTAATGGCATAAATGTAAAAAAACTTATCTTGCAAGTTAGACACATGTTGGAAGTCCTAAAAAAAAAACGTTACTTAGTTTTTAATTATATAGTATATATGGAAGTAGAAGTAAAGCCTCCATTATCCATATTAAGGTTTTTTTTTGTCCTTAGTCTTTTTTTAAGAAGCTCTAATCTTCTTTTCTTAGATACTAGCCATTGTAATTTAATATTATACCATCTTTGAGTAATTATCTATTTTTTTCCTAAAAATATAAGAATATATTGATCCTTTGATTATTTATAATTCATGTCTTTGATAGCAATTAAATTGATTTATTTACATATAGAAAATGGTCCAAATCTAAAATAATCTAACTTGTTATAAAAACAACTAAGCTTTAATATTATAACAAAGTAACAATATCTTGTTGTCAACATAGAATTAGGAATATTTTTTATTATAAAAATCTATATTAATATTTTATTATTTTTGAGCTTCTTTTAATTGTAATTTTATTTTTTCACATAATTCTAATAGATAATTTATTAAATCTTTTGGTTTAGCATTATCAACTTTTGAAAAGTCAAAAATATCAAGTTGTAGATGATAACCATAACTAGCATAGAAAGATATTTATTGGATAAAAGAATATAACATATTATTATAGGCAAACTTCGTCAATAGCAAAAAAATTGTCCAATCATCTTAATAATAATTCATAATATATTTCAAATACTACTTTAAAACTTAATTTATCAATTTTATTTTTTCATCAATTTGATATCACGGATATACATATTTATTCTAATATTTATTTATATGATTAAGTAGAAATAGGTAAAAGTAAATTTATTTCATGATATTTTTTAGTGATGCTTCCTAGAAGCTTTATAAATGTTGTTTTGATTTAACATGTATTTGTAGTTGATTGATAGCTTAAAAAATTGGTTAATAAGTTAACCATGTGTTGGTAGCTTGCAAAAAAAGTTAACTATATGGTGCACATATAAAAAACTTGCACTTACAAGTTAAGATACATTTCTTACAAAGTCAACATATTTTGGAGGTTCTATAAGACATTGCCATATACCTTATAATTAAGAATATATATGGAGGCAAGAGTGAAGCCTTCTTCATTCTTGTCAATTCCTTTTTAGTCCTTAATCTTATTTCAAGTCTTTTTAAACTTCTTGTCTTTGACAATAGTCATTCTAGTTTAATACTATATCATCTTTGAGTGATTTTTTAGTCTTTTTAAGTAGCACAAGAATATATTGACATTTTGATTCTTTGAAATTCATGTCCTTGACATTTAAAGATGGAAAGTCAAAGATATTTTTATATCTGCCTTCAATATTTTGAAAAGAATTTTTCAATATCTTGATACAAATTACATTTTTCTATTTAATATAATATTTTTTGGCAATCTATAATATAAATATTTATTTTTAAGATTTTTTTTTTTTTTTTTTTATATATAATAGTTTTTTTTATATTGTACAAAATATATCATCTTGATAAAATAACCTACTATCACAAATATATAATTATTTGAACTTGAGATTAAAATATCTATAATAAATCCATATAAATAGACAATTATAGTTCTATTGGAATAGTATCAAGGACATGAATAAAAACAATGAGAATCTTAAAATATTTTTGTGTAGCTGAAAGAAAATAAATATTAATTCCAAAAATAATATAATATGAAGACTAGAATGACTATTGCCAAAGATAAAAAGAGGATAGACTCTTGAAATTGGATTAAAAACAAAAAAGGCATTGACAAGAATAAAGAAGACTTCACTATTGTTTTTATATATACTATCTAATTAAAAACTACATAGCAATATTTTATGAGACATCCAATATATATTGAATTTACTAAATACATGTCTTAATTTATAAGATTTTTTTTTTTATGTATTTGCAATATAATTAGCTTGTTCCATAAGCTATCAACATGTGTGACATGTAGTTAATTTGTTGAAAAAGTTTTTAATCTATTAATTAAATAAAAACATGTATAAAATCAAAGCAACATCTATAAAGCTTCTACAAAGTTTTTAAAAGATATTATGAAATTGATTTATTTTTACATACTTCTATTTAATCTTATAGATAATTATTGGAATAAATATGTATGTCTATGATATTACTCCTTCTTCTAAGAACAAATTCTATGAGGAGCAGTCATTATATGTTGAGGAAATCTAAGATATGGCAAATTGTGTTTGTCACATACTCTAATATTTGTTCTCTTCAAAGATGGTTGATAGGTCTTCTCAATAATATCTCATACTAGGATAGAAAGACCACCATATTATTTGATCATTATTGAGGCCTCATAACCTTGTCGAAATAAGATATTTGAAACACTATCAAGAGTTGTTCCTACGTCTAATAAAATCACCAAACATTGGGAGTCTCTTCTAAAGTCATAATATCTAACACGTTGTATCTTGCCATCTATTCAAAGAAAGATATGTCATTCTTGAAGATCTTCATTTTGATTACATTATCTTAAAGTTTGTAACAATTGCAATGTCTCATCTAGTAAGTCAACAAACAATAGATCTTAGGTTAAATCTATTAATTGTTGATTTTTTATTTCCTTAGTATCACATATGTATAGAAGCATCAAACAAAGATAGAAGGGAGAATATTAGAAGTTGGAAATTTTTCTTGAAGATAAAAAAAAAAAAAAAAAAAAAAAAAAAAAAAATTGATTGACAACAGATTAGAAAGAAGTGGAAGAGGCAATAAGGCTGCTTGCAAAGAAAGAAAAGAGAAAAGATAGAATGGATATTCAAAGACCATTTCAAACATCTAAGGTAAAAATTCTTATTAACCATCCTATGTTTATGATTCAACCTTCAATGGTTGCATCAAAGAAAGAAGAAATGGGCATTGATAATAATATATAAGAGATGAAAGACTTATAAATTTTTTTTGTAAAATTTGAGGAAAAGAGCCAATCATTAAAAATATCAAGAAGTCAAAAATTGGGACCAATGTAAGGTATAGTTCATAAGTACATGTGGTGTAATAGGGTTGATCATTCAAAAAGAAAATATGAAGATTTTATAGAGGCATTATATAAAGGAGTTAGTTTTTTTAAAGATAATATGATACATTTAAAAAAAAGTGAAAAAAAATTAAAGAAAAACTTT